CCACCACACCCAGCCAAATTATTGGTAATTCTTGAAAGAGAGGCCTAGAATTTCATTGTGGTCCAGCCCACACTGGAAGTCAACCTTTGAGAGACCTCACCTCCCTCCCAAACACACACAAACACAGCAATGCACCTTGCACTCAGGGGTGTGCACACAGACACCAGCAGACACACTAGCCCATCACCCTGGGTGTGCACAAGATGCCCACAATCAAAGCCGGGGGACAGATGCCCCGCCAGAGACTCCCATAGCGCCCCCTGTTTCTCTGAAGCCCTAGCCCTACCAAAGGGCTCAGGGTAGAAGGGCTCCCAGTGTAGGGGGCAGCAGCAGGTGGTCCAGATCCCCCCACCTGATCTCCAGCCCAGAGGCGGAGGGGAGGCCCAGGCCTGGGGTGAAGGGCCTTGGCAGGCACAGACATGCCCTGTACCCTGGGCTTGGGGCCGTGGTAAAGCCTCCTTGGTCACCAGGGCCATCAAGTGGGCATGTCCACCCATGGTACAGTCCCAGGAACTGAAGTCCAAAGGAAGAGGAGGAGGGGTAATGTAGGGGAGAGGAAGAGGGAGGAGGAGGAGGGGAGAGGAAGGGGAGGAGGAAGAGGGACGAGGAAGGGCAGGGATGAGGAAGGGCCGGAAGAGGGCAGGAGGGGTCGGGGTGCCACCGGCAGGCTGCCCCGCGCTGCGGGCCTGAGCCCACCCTAGAGCGAGGCTGGGCGCCCAGAGGTGGCAGGTCCGAGGCCTGAGACCCGGGCTCAGGGCGGCGGCCCTCTGCTGCCCCTGGTGGCGGCGAGGAGAACTGCAGCCACGGCCCTCGTTGGGCGGGGTGTAGCCTGCAGGAGCCCCCCAGTGCAGGAAGCCTGCTTGGAGGCTCCCTGCCGCTCGAGGCCAGCCTGGGGCTTCCCAGGGGCCCCACCTTGTCCTCTCCTGAGGGCACTTTGGTGGGTCTGGGCCCCAGGAAAGAGTCAAAACTGACTGCGCACCAGGGGCCCAGCAGAGAGCCCCCACCCAGGCCTCAACAGAGACCACCCCACAGCTCTGCCAAGAGAGCCTGTGGTGCCAGCGGCCCCCGGAAACTTCTGGCACTCCCCCCATAAGCCCCTGGCCTGACTCAGCCGCCTGGCGTGCCCACGCGAGGGCAGATCCTCAGGCACCCCCTTCCTTCGGGGCGCGTGCACGCGAGAGGGCACGAGCAGAGCCGGGAGCAGGCACTCCGGACACACGCAGGGGAGGAGCCACAGGGGCCCAGGGAGGACCAGGGCTGATGGCAGAAGCCCCACCCTGCCCTCCCTCAGAGAGGCCAGACTTGAAACCAAAACAGCACCCTGCCACCTCCCCCCACTGGTGGGGTCAGAGGTCAGCGTCAGGCAGACTCCATTGAGGGAGGTGCAGTGGTGCGTAAATACGCCTGCAGCCCGCTGCGTCATCCTTGCCCTCCCTGAAGACACGCTGGGCTGGGGGTGCTCCTGCCGGGAGCAGACCTGCTGGGCCTGGGCTAGAGGAGGTTCCCCTAGGTGGGGGCTCCCAGGGCGGCAGTGGGGTCACGCTGCCCAGGGCAGGGATACATCCAGAACCCCATCTCTCCTGCATCCCAGGTGGATGAGGCTGGGAGGGGCAGGGGCAGCCCAGGGCTCCCCTGGAGGTGCTCATGGGTGTCAAGGCAGGTCTGGGTTCCTCCGCTGAGCCCAGCACCCAGATGCAGTCTGTGTCCCCAAAACCCATGCAGCCCTCCCATCTACAAAAGCCTGCACACATCACCCCACGAGCAGATGAGCCCACCTGGGATGAATCAGAAAACTCATCCAAAGGAACGGGCCGGTCAGGGTGAGGACTGGGCTCACTTTGAGTCTGGACTTGGCAAGTCCAGAATTCACACCAGGCTGTCCAGACCCAACGAGGGGCCGGGCAAGGCCAGGCTGGCAGAGCTCGGCAGGTGGAGGGTCTTTCCCCAACACCGTGACCCCAAAGTGAAGCCCCTCGCCCACAGGAGTCCTGGTGCCCCCCCAAGTGGGGCCCCGAGACATGCTCAGTGTCCAGTTGGCACAGCCCCTGGGCCGAGCACAGGTGAGACCCAGAGGCAGGCCCAGTGCCGTCCCCACCGCACCGCCCAACCAGGCCATGACATACCTGGGCTTGCCACGGGAAGGAGGTGCTCGGTGCCCCTGCAGGCTGGCCAGGGGCTGGGCGAGTCGTCCACGTGGCCGAGGCAGGCCCGAGCTCTGCAGAGGGAAAGACAGAACCCTGGTTTCCACTCTCAGCCACACGGCTGCACAGGGCGAGGTGTGGGGGCTGGCACCCCGCGGACAGGGAACCCCCACCAGGCCAGGTCCCTACAGGGCGGAAGGGGCAGCAGGGGCAGAGAACACATATGTTCAGAGATGTGTACTCACAGCACAGGGACCCGCAGAGACACACAGACACACGCAGACATGTGCCACACACAGAGACATGCGGTGGTGTCTCCCCCAGGGGCCCCAGACCCTGAGACCAGCCTGTGTGTCCACTTCCCGCAGGGCGCCCTGCAGCCCACCGCACCCCTCTCTTTGGCCCAAGCTCAGGAACTGGCCTCACACCCTCCCCAGGGAGCCACTGGTGTTGACCCACAAGGCCCACCCACCTGTCCTGTCTCACCACCCAGGAATTGCGGAGGGGGCGCGGGGGAAGCTCACCTGGGGGGGGAGCTCAACTGGGGGCCGAAGGGGGCACCACCCTCCACGCCCCACCAACTCAACCCCCAACGCCTCCCAATGCCTGGCCTCTGGGACCAAGCCTGGGGGATGGGGCAAGTGGCCCTCTGGCAGCCCCGGGGCAGGAGGGGACCCAGGGGCTCCATCCCCCACCCTGGCTGACTGAGAGCTCCAAGACACGTGGGCTGCTGGGGAAGTGTGAGCCACAGGGAAGCCACGGACACCCACCTGGCCAGACCAAGGTCCCACTCAAAAAGGGACCTCCCCAGACGCTGCAACAGTTTACCCAGGGCCGCTTGCGGCTGCCATCGCAGCCTGTGTGCACAGCCAGGCAGGGGTAGCCAAGGTGGAGAGCAGCTTGGAGACCGCCCACCATGGTCCCCCAGGCCCCAGGCTGGGAGGCGGATCTGAGGAGGCAGGGAGGCGCCGCCAACACAAACAGGCCCTCCCCCGCTCACTCTGGCGGAGGGGCGCCACAGACACCCAGGCCCCAGGCAGCCGGCACCCTCCACCCCCGACACACAGCCTGGACGGGACTGCCCCTCCCACCCAAGCCTGAGCCTCTGGAGGCTGGAGCCACGGTCCAGCCCCCCTCCCACTCCAGGGGCAGGAGAGACACCCCTCTGGGGGAGGCTACCAAGGGCCCCTCCCACCTCTCCTCCTGGGCCAATGAAGGCCAGCTCCGACTGAGGCCGGTGTCCTCCCCTGTCCCTCCCCTGCACCCTCAGGTCTTTCTCTGGGGGGGCTGTGGGGGTGGAGGGGACACAGTTCCGACTTTGGGAGGGGCCCTTCCACCCACCCAGGCTCCAGGAGCAGCCCAGCCTCAGGTGTCCATCCCACCGCAGCCCTGGCCCTAACCCATGTCACCTGGACCCTACAGAACAGTCTCAGGGGCACGTCAGCCCAGGCAACGGGATGGCAGATAGTGACCTTCCCAAATGCCACCAGAGGTGTGAGTCACTAGGTTCGGGCCAGTTCAGCCGCAACCACATCTGCAAACACCACTGCCCACACTGCCAGGTCTCGAGGGCCACTCGGCAGTGCTGAACCGTGTTATCCTGGGCGCGGCAGGCGCTGGCCGGGGTGTGTGCGCACCAGGGAGGTGTCCGGCACACGTGTCCACGGCATGCCCTCCGAGAGAACACACATCTGTCCCTGCCCAGCCAGAGGCACAGGCGTGTGCGGAGGCTGGCGAGAGAGGCCGTCACCACACCCCCTAGCTGAAGGTCTCACCCAACCTCACTGGGGATGCAGACCCTCCTGGTGGGCAGCTTCTGGTCCCACCAGAGCCTTACAGATGGGGAAACTGAGGCTGTGATCCAAGACTAGGGTGCAAGGTCTGCCCAATCCCAGCCCAGTGCTCCACCCAGCTGCCCAGCGCCCTCCCCTCCCCCGTGGCTGGCCTATTTCCATGGCAACGCCCAGGGTGGGAGGGGCTGGGCAACTGAAACTTCAGTCACGAGTTTCCCCTGTCCCCTTCCCTGAAGTGACCCCTTCAAGCGGGTTCCAAACCACATGTAAGAAAACCCTCCCTCTCCTTGTGCCCCTCGATCCAACCACAGGAGGCTGGACACCCCATTCTTGTGAAACCCCACCCGACGCTCCCAGAGGCCCAGGCCCGGCCCTGCAGACGCTGCACGGCCACCTACCCCTGCTCACCAAACATGTGCAGGGGGGACACCTCTGAGGCTGCCCAGGATCTTCGCATCTAGCCTGGTTGGGGCAAAGGACAGGCCTGAGCCACAGCAGAGCCAGGGAGGAGCCCAGGGGCTTCCGTGCACACGCGGGGGGCTCTGTGGACATGCGGGCGGAGGTGGGGGGTGGCGGTCCACAGGGCCAGCCTCAAGTTCCCAGGGCCCTCCCGGGAAATCAGGGAGCACACACGCTCGGAATTCCAGGAATGTCAACTTGGCTCAGCCAGGTTTTGGGAGGGAGGCTCACTGCGCCAAGTCTCCCAGAGTAAACAACTCCTGGCAGGAACAGGGGGGGGCAGGCCCAGGGTCCCTCCTCCAGGAAGCCTTCAGCCCCCACCCACTCCCGAGGGCCCACCCTCCTGACATCCTGGATCCCACGCCCCCGCCCCCTCACCTCCACAGCCACCAGCAGCCTGGGCAGCCAAGCCAGGTCTGACCCCAGGCCACTGGCCAGGCCAGGGCAGGATGTGCGTCCACTCAGCCTGAGGGGAGGGGCAGGGAAGGGAAGTGGCCTCGAGTCTCGTGGCTCTGCACGTGGCTGGGTGGGGGGCGGCTAATGCCCATGAGGAAGCTGTCCAGGGCCCAGGCCAGGGTGGGACCACAAACCCCAGGTGGACAGTGGCTCTGCCCCCCCCCCATGAGACCCTTCATCTCCCTCCCCTGCAACTAGGGCAAAAGTCCAGCATTTGCCCTGAGAGAGCAGTTAGCTGATGCCTGGGACCCAACACAGGCCCATTCCCACCAGATGGCCCACGGCCCCAACCCGCCCTGAGCCCTCAGAGGTGCCACTTTGCAACACACCAGCCCCCACAGCCCACAGCTCACCTCCTCCAAGGAGCCTTCCCTGCCTCTCCCTTCACTGACCCCACCCCTCCCATCTCCAGGGGCACCCACCCGCACAGCAAAAAGGGTGCCAGTGCCAGCCTCCCCACACCCCATCCCAGAGATACAACCACCCCGTCCCTAAAGTCCCTGGAGGTCCCATCAGGGGTCCCATCCAGGGGTCAGCTGGCCCTGCAGGCACAGCCTCTAGGACTCTGCCCAAGGGTGCCCTTTGCCAAGATCACAGACCACGTCCTCCCGAACCTCCCTCCCCGGCCCCTCTCCCCGTCCTCAGAGGTGCGTCTGAGCGCCGATGACCCGATCGCGGGCCGGGATAGCGCGGACCCCTCTCCCCTTCCTGGAAGGAGCCAGAAGATCGCGGACAGGGGCGCAGCGAGGCGGTGCAGGGGGAGCAGCCGCCCGCCCCATCCGTCCCCTGCCGTCGGGGCTACAGGTTAAGTACCCGGCGGGGGCCGTTCCTGCGCGGCCCGAGCGCGGCGGGGGCCGGGACGGCGCCCGGAGGGTCCGGGCCGCGGCGAGCATGAAACGCCCCAAACTCTGCGGCAGAGCCCCCGGGACCCCGGGGTTGGGGGCTCCGGGAGGAGACACCGCGTTCCCGGCAGGGCCAGCAGGGGCGGCGGGAAGCACGCCCGCGGCCACCGGACCTCCGACAGTCCCTCCGTCCCGGCCCCGCGGGAATAGCCGTGCCCCCCGCCCGGGCCCCCACTTGTTGCTGCGTCTTGTCTCGGGGCTCGAACTCGCGCGCCCTAGCTCGCGTCCTGGTGCTGCCGGACCGGGCTCGGG